TGACGGAGCAGGACAAGCTGAGGATCCCATGGAGATTATAGTCATTGTGATCGACCAGAACGACAACAAACCTTATTTTACGGTGGAGTACAACGCAAATGTTGCTGAAGCCACGGCCATCGGTATGTATAGAAACCTTATTGCCTCTGGACTTGGGTAGTTTTCTTTGCTTTTGTTCGTGTTTCTAATACTTATCTACTATATTTAATGAATTTCAAGATACCTAGAGATTTAAAGAAAATCAGAATGACACCTAAAGCACCAGAGAAGGATTTGGGTTAGAAGGAAATTAGCAGACGTTTGCATTAAGTCAATTTTATTTAGTAAATCTTGTAAATGAAGCAGTGTGAAGACCTTCAGACACTTCTGCTCTTGTTTACCTTTTTCTGAATTCCTCCACTCCAGGGACGGAGGTGGTTAAGGTTGAGGCCAAAGACGACGATGAGCCAGGTACTGACAACTCAGAGCTCCGCTATCGTATTCTGAACCAGGACCCACCGCTGCCCACTGACAACATGTTTGAAATCAACCCAATTACTGGAAGCATCAGAGTCACTGGTAGAGGATTAGACAGAGAGGTAAGACCTGTTAAACACATTTAAAACACAAGTGTCCTTTTACACCTAAGGGCTGAAAAAACATTTTATAATGAATCAGGATCAGCAGTCTGCCTGTCACTGCTAGAAATCAGTCACAAAGAGGGTGCTGCAAAAAAACATGGTGTTGTTTTTTTTTTGTTTGTTTTTTTTGACAGTAAAACTAGACGCAGCCTCTAAAGTATAGTTAGTTTCTGTCTACATTTCTGGTTTGTGTCATACCTCTGGACAAACTATTTATACTTGGCGAATAGTTTGTCAGACTAGTCTGTCTTCCATGCAGACTACAGGAGATCAGAGCTGTTTCTGGTGCAGCATCATAAACCTCTTTGAAACTGACTTCACAGAGCAACAACAAACAGCCTCGTGCCAAATGGTCAAGAAATACTTTATTCTAACAGTTTGACCAAGGCTCTCAACAGCATCATGTTTGTCATAAGCGAAATATTAAATGAGTTTAGCTTCAGCTTTTCAGCAGAATCGGCCTTCATAGATGAAGAGCTTTAGTCCGTCTGAAGGCTGTGTTACAGTCTGTAAAACCGATGTCAGTGTTTCTTCCTTCGTGTTGATGAGCTGATGTCTGTATCTTACCAGAAATATCCACAGTACACTCTGACAGTACAAGCAGCAGATATGGCAGGAGAAGGGTTAACTGGACAAACCAAAGTCATCCTCACGGTGACGGACAGCAATGACAACGCTCCAGTCTTCACTCAGAGCTCAGTAAGTATGAAGTAACTGGAAACTTCCTGTTTAACTGCTGCTTTTTCACACTGTTAAAGCAGAACATTCATCCTGTATTATTAATGTTGCACTCACACATACTGACACAGCAAAAACCCAGTCTTTGACAGCACATG